TTTAGGGGTTTGGGTTCGGCGTTTAGGGTTTAGGATTTTAGGGCTTAGGATTTAGGGCTTTTGGTTTAGGGTTTAGGGGTTTAGAAATTTAGGGGTTTGGGTTCGGCGTTCAGGGTTTAGGATTTTAGGGTTTAGGATTCAGGGCTTTGGGTTTAGGGTTTAGGGGTTTAGAAATTTAGGGGTTTGGGTTCGGCATTTAGGGTTTAGGATTTCAGGGCTTAGGATTTAGGGCTTAGGGTTTAGGGTTTAGGGGTTTAGAAATTTAGGGGTTTGGGTTCGGCGTTTATGGTTTAGGGTTTAGGTCTTAGGGTTTAGGGCTTAGGGTTTAGGGTTTAGGGTTCGGGGTTTAGGGCTTAGGGCTTTAGGGTTTAGGAGTTTAGGATTTAGGAGTTTAGGGTTCAGGGGTTTAGGGGTTTAGGGTTCGGGGGTTTAGGGGTTTGGAAATTTAGGAGTTTAGGGTTTAGGGGTTTAGGGTTTTGGGTTTAGGGGTTTAGGGGTTTGGGGTTTAGGGGTGAGGGGTTTAGGGTTTTGGGTTTAGGGGTTTGGGTTCGGCGTTTAGGGTTTAGGATTTGGGGCTTAGGGTTTAGGGTTTAGGGTTTAGGGTTTAGGGGTTCAGGGTTCGGGGGTTTAGGGGTTTAGAAATTTAGGAGTTTAGGGGTGAGGGGTTTAGGGTTTTGGATTTAGGGGTTTAGAGTTTAGGGGTGAGGGGTTTAGGGTTCTGGGTTTGGGGGTTTAGGGGTTTAGACTTTGGGGGTGAGGGGTTTAGGGTTTTGGGTTTAGGGGTTTAGGGGTTTAGAGTCTAGGGGTGAGGGGTTTAGGGTTTTGGGTTTAGGGGTTTAGGGGTTTAGAGTTTAGGGGTGAGGGGTTTAGGGTTTACAGTTTTAGGGTGCAAGGCTTTGGAGTTCCCAAACCCTGAACCCCCCAAGCCCGAAACCTTAAACCCCAAAACCACTTAACCCCAAAACCCCTAAACCCCAAAACCGCAAAACCCCCAAACCCCTAAAACCCTAAACCCCTAACCCCTAAACCTTAACTAAAACCACCAAAAACCCAAAAACCCAAAACTCCAAACCCTCCTAAACCCCAAGACCCAAAAAGCTGCAAGGCGAGACGCCTCCGGTGGTGGCTGGGCGAAGACTCCGAACTTCCCGCCTCTTGGGCTGAAAAGTTTAGGGGTTCAGGGTTTAGGGCCTCTGGGGTTTAGGGGTTTGGGGTTTTTGGGATGTTAGGGTTTAGGGGTTTAAGGGTTTAGGATTTTAGGGCTTAAGGGATAAGGGTTTAGGGGTTTAGGGGTTTTGGATGTTCGGGTTTAGGGATGTGGGATGTTAAGGTTTAGGGTTATGGGATGTTGGGGTTTAGGGGTTTTGGGTTTGGGGGTTTAGGGTTTGAGGGTTTTGGGGTTTAGGGTTTGACGGTTTTGGGGTTTAACGGGTTGAGGGTTTAGGGGCTTCGGGTTTAGGCTCCAGTTGCAAGCCGCTTCGTGTTGCTTTCCCTTAACTGTTTTTTCAAGGGTCCTTCAAAGAGTTCCATGAAGGGTTCTTGCCAGGGTGCTGTAAGGTTTCCGTTAAGGGTTTTAGAAGGTTTGTTGATCTTTGAAGGGTTCCTTTGAGGGTTCCTTTCATGGGTTCTTTACAGGGTCCGTCAGTGTTCCTTTAAAACTTTGTGAGTTATATAAAGAGTATTTGATCGTTTAAGGGTTTTTCAAGGGTTCCGTCTAAGATTGGCCGACTGCATAGGTTCCTTGGGGTGTACTTGGAGGGTCGGGGGACTTAGTAAGTAGGTAATAAGTAGACTGATAAGTACCCTGACAGGGACTAAGTCCCCCGACCGTCCAAGTAGACCCTAAAATCCTGTGTATACCTTGTTTGCGAGAAAGGACAAAGTCAGAAACCAATGAGTGGCTGGGCCCACCCTTCAGGATAGTTGTTTTCTGGGTTTAGGTCTTAGGGTTTACGGTCGGGGGACTTCGGGGAACGGCAACTAGCTATCTTATAAAGTCACAAGTATAATAACCCGAAATAGGGTCCCTTTTAGGGTACTTAGAAGTCTACTTACTACCTTAGTAAGTCTCGTGGCTTGTTAAGCTACTTCATGCAGGCAGGATTTTGTCCATCAGCTAAACCCTAAACCCTAAACCCTAAACCCTAAACCCTAAACCCTAAACCGAGAACCCGTTCAAGAAGCCTTCAGGATGATAGAGGCCATAAGAGCAGCGACCAAGAGGGAACGGAAAAACCGGACCGGAGCTTTCTTCGGTCCTGATCCCAGAGGCTCCACATATAGTACCGTTACGGAATCAGGTCCCTAAAACCTTAGTAAGGATGGTCTTTTGGGATCTACTTCCATAATGGTACTATATGTGGAGCCTCTCGCGATGATGCTATTGACCAGAAAGCCATGACAACGTTCTGCAATGCAGTGGTTTCGATCACGGCCGATGGTGGGCCCACCAAACAGAGGGCTGCGTGTGAGTGCACTCCGTTGCTGCCCGACCTGGTTGGGAATCGCGCAGCAACAGTGGCATTCCTCAAGTGTGCCCTGATCAGCCGAGACGGTGCACATAGAAGGTCTGTGCAGAAGCTGTTCTTCAAGAAGTTGCCGCCAATCTTCAGCAAATTTATAAGTCGGCTGCTGACTGGGAATCGCAGCCTGGCAAGGATTCCCGAGACATCGGATGAATTTGGCAAGGCGTTCATCGACAAGCGGAAGGAGTTTAAGCAGGCTGTTGAGGATGGCTTCGAAACAGCAGAAGGCTTTCCACCCTTGATTAAGAGCCTTTCCTCCACGGGCCACCCCCGGAACGAACCTATCAAAGAGAGTTGTTTGAACCACTTGAGCCAGTAGCATTAGGAAACCCTAAACCCCTAAACCTTAA